CATTGGTGATGACTTCGTATGGACTGTCAGGATCAAAGATGCGAAGGACGGGCGGCGACGTGAGGGCGATCTTCAGTTGGTCGAATGCAGCTTGCTGCTTCTCTCCTCACCAAAAACAATCGTGATCCTTGAGTCGGTCAGTTAGCGGGGCAGATAACCCAGCCATATTGGGGATAAATCGGCAGACGTAGTTGACGAAACCCAAAAGACTCCGCAGCTCCTTTATGCTAATGGCGACTTCCACTCCTGTATTGTCTTGATTTCCTTGGGGTCGATTTTCACTCCTTCGGTAGAAACGACGTGGCAAAAAAACTCCAACTCCTGCTTAAGAAAGTCGCACTTAGACCCCTTCGTGATGAGGCGATTCTTGTGCAGCAGCGTGAAGACTGCATCAAGTTCGTGTAAGTGTTGCTCCCTGCTGCGGCTAATGTTGAGGATATCGTCGAGGCAGATAATAACGCATTTATCCAAGAGTTCCCTGAGAATGCCATTCATGGTCATCTGAAAAGTCGAGGGCGCGTTCGTGAGGCCAAAAGGCATCACCAAGTATTCGTAGCTGGCGTAGCGGGTGCGAAATACGGTCTTGTGACAATCCTCGGCGGCGACGCGAATTTGATGGTAACCCCCTCGCAAGTCGATTTTCGAGAAGAACTTGGCTCCACGAAGTTGGTCGAGTAGTTCGTCGGCTCACGGGATCGGGTAACGCGATTTGATTGTGATCTTGTTGAGCGCACGGTAGTTGATGCACATGCGGAATCCTCCATCATTTTTCGGTGTGAACAGTATCGGGGCGGCGTATGGGGACGTGCTTGGCTGGATAAATCCCTTCGTCAGAAGGTAGTCCAGCTGCTGCTGCAATTCTTCCAGTTCTGGTTGGCTCAACCGAAATTGTCGCTGTACCGTCGGTTGGGCGCTTGGTTCCGGCTCGATGCGATGGTCTTCTGGTCGGCTCGGCGGAAGTCTAGCTGGCAGGTCGTCCGGGAAAATCGCGGGGTGTTTTCGAATCAGGTCCGCTAAATCCGGAGAAACGGCTTCGCACAGCTTCGCGATATCTTCGGCTATTGTCGTCGACGTCACCTCGCGAAGATCAACGGCGTACGCCGCAGCTCCCGCTTTTATCGCGCGCTTGAAAGTTATCGCATGGACTTGGGTGCTTCGCATGCGAGGTCCTGTCCATTTCGGTAGCTCATGGGGGATCCCATCGAGTTTTATGCTGCAGCCGCCCGTCGTCCAGTCGATCTTCGGGTTGTACTGTCGCAGCCAATCTCATCCCAGCAGCACGTCGCACCCGTCGAGTGTAGTCGCCAGCAGCCCCATCCGAAATTTTACGTGCTCCCCGCATTGAAAACTGACATTCTCCACTCGCTCCCGTATAGCCAGCGGTGTTCCATCCACCAGTCGGGCGTCAATTTCGGGTAGACACTTGAGTAAGGGAATACACAATTTTTTAGCCCTGTCCAGCTGTATGAGACAGTGACTCGCGCCTCCATCCACGAAAATCTTCAGCAACACTCCGTTGACTTTACCCTCCACCAACACAGGGTGACCAGCAGTTTCGTCCCCCTTATTCGTCTGGGTCCGGTCGATTGCAGCAATCGGGATCACGACCCCGTGGGGACTGTGTGGCTCGGACGAAGAAGCATGCTCGTCAGTAAGGGGCCCGGTACTTACTGACGCGACCCATTTCCCGGTCGCTCCTTCGGCTTCTTCCCCATAGAATTCTGGAGTGCTATGAATTCTTCGCAGTTGCGTCGGATGCGACCGGTCGGCCACAGTGGTAGCATAGCCCCGTATTTCGCGGAACAACTACGTAAATATCCACTGCGTGCACCCCTTTTATCGTGGCGCGCTGGTACTGTTCTCGAGGGCGACCTCCGTCGTAGAAGTTCGTTCTCGGCTTCGTGAGCGAATCAGCGGCTTCCACGAGCTGGATGAAGTCTTGTAACCGCTTTGCAGGGCGTTGTAGTTTTATCTGGTACTGTATTTTAGGCTTCAGTTCGCCCATGTATCTGTCCACCTTCTCCAACTCGTGCATGTAGCCACATCTGTCCACCAACGTCAAGAATGACGCGGTGTACTCGGACACAAATCCCAGCTGCTTCCACATGTGTAGAGTCTCGCACGCTTTGTCTGAGTCAGGAGCATGCTCAAACCGCTTGCAAAGCTCTGCGCACCACATTGCCCACGTGCGAATGTGGGTCGCACCAAACAGCAAGTCTGCCTCGTCTTCGTCGCCGAATTATTCGGACCACTTGTGCTGTCATTCTGTGTGAGTTGCCGCTGAGTCAACGATGACCTTCCACCATTGTAGGGCGGCCCCTTGCAACAGTGGTAACGCGTGGCTGATCCGCTTCTGATCGTCTCGGATGCCTGGCGCATTAAAATAGATACAGCGACGGAAATAAGTGGGCCTATTAATCCACTGCAGTACATAGACTCAGTCATTTTGGCCGGATATGTTGTCATAACCCAACCATAACATATTGCATACTGTGCCCCTTGACGTCACTTACTCAATGCACTTGGGTGTTCTAACTTTATCGAGTTTATTGTAAAGAGTACAATAATAAGCGTTCGTTACTCGATGCGGACACTTTAGGCCAACTTCGCGTCCAGATCTATTTCCTGTCTGCATTACGCGACCTCGCAACCTACGCTGCCATTTTTCTCTCGATAGTCTAGCGGCAACTACGCCAAGCCCCCAGCGACGATGCGACCGCTTCTTTCGAGCCAGAAAGATAGGATCGCGACACTTATTCGACAGGGCCAGAGTATTCGACAAATCGCTAAAGCATTAGGAATAGGAAAAAGCACGGTACATAAATATGCTCACGAAGCCTCCCAGCGCTCGAGCAGCCTAGCGGTCAGGCCGAATGTTCCTAGGAACGACCGACTGCCACAGGATCGAATAGGGTTTGCTCAATGTTGCACCATCAATCAGTACAAGGGGCTTTTATACTTCCAGATTGCATAAGGTAACCAGGTTTATCCTATCCAAAGAGAATAGACCCTTCTAGAAATAGAATCACCCTGTGTATAGCCATGCGAGGCTATTGGCTTTAAGGGATTACGGCAGGATTACGCTAGATATAGCGCGCCAGTACATCCCGAGCCTGGTCGGTGATATAATTATAATAACAGGATAACCCAAAGGATAATGGAAAGTGAGGAATAGGAAACCAAATGAGATGAGATAAAGACCAAATGAATCAGGATAAAAAGAGGAATGAAATAGAAAGGAAATATGGAAAGGGGAAAATAGTTTAACGGGGTCGTACTCTCACACCGACCGTGCGTACTCTCGGTTAGTGATAGGCGCTCTCTGGTCCGAGCCGTCACTTCTGGCCGAGCGAATACTAGCATAGAAGCCGCAAAACTTCTAGAATCGGAGCGCGTCATCAAGATATGCCCTAGAACCGTGCGCAACGCCCTGAAGAACTCCGGTTTAGTAGCCGTGCAGAAACCGAAGAAGCCGCGACTTTCTGCCCGAAATATCAGAGACCGACTCGATTTTGCCAAGGCGCATCTTGAATGGACCATTGAAGACTGGAAGGGAGTTATCTGGTCCGACGAGACCAAGATCAACCGCTTTTCCAGTGATGGCCGCAAGTACGCGTGGATACGCGACGGGGCGGCCCAGCAACATCACCACATTCAGCAAACCGTCAAGGATGGGGGCGGGTCATTGATGGTATGGGGATGCATGACGTATGATGGCCCGGGCTATATGTGTAAGATTGACGGCCGCATGGATGGGGAGATGTACAGAAGCATTTTACATGATGAGCTAGCTCAAACTATCGATTTCTATAGTCTAACCCCCTCGGATGTAATTTTCCAGCATGACAACGACCCCAAGCACAAGAGCCGCCTTATGTAAGCATGGCTAGCTGAGCAGGCGTATGCAGTCCTCATGTGGCCTTCCTCCTCCCCTGATCTCAACCCCATAGAGCACCTGTGGGCACACCTCAAAAGGGAGCTTGCCAAGTATGAGCACCCCTCCATAGGGATGCTCCAGACTTGGGAGTGGGTGCAAGGAACATGGGATGGCATTGGGGTGGATGTGTGCAGGGGCCTCATCAACAGTATGCCTAGGAGGGTGAAGGCAGTGGTTAGGGCTAAGGGGAGGTGGACTAGGTACTGATTTTGGATTGTTGAACACTTTCTTCAAATCTGGCCAAAAGTGTCCGAATAGTGCTTGGTGAATGTGGTTGTTGGTGTGGCATTATAAACATGCCCTTTCAGGCTGCACGACATGTGCTCTTCTTGCTCAGGAGGCATTATACTAGTATATTAAAGCCCCATGTTTTTAAGACTCTGTATGAAAAATACACACGCATTTTAGCCTCTCAAAGGGTCAAGATATGGACAGTTTTTTCCGTCACTGTATTCATGGCGAATATCCACTCCCGCACCGTCACGCCTTTATTAGTTGGGTCGAAAGGAGCGGGTTGCTGATATCTCATGCCGCCACTTGTCGAGCGCGGGGCTGTTGCCGCTAGTCGTGCCAGCTCCACTGGCGACGGTTGCTGCTCACCCGCCTTGCTTCGTGCATCGTCGCCCGGCTCCTCTGAACGCCTCTCCTGCGCCTGGCGAAGTCATTGGTTCTCGTCGCGGAGGTTGTTGACGACGCTTGTCAAATTATTTAACTGCTCCATTAATGCTTGCAGATCCACAGTTTCTCGAGCAGAGTTCGCAGCAGTCGAGGTCGTTTGTTCCTCAACCATCGAATCTACCGGAACCATGGCGGTCGGGACGGGGCAGAAGCTAGCGCACACGCTGTAGTTGTTGACGTAAAAATATTTACGATCAAAGACAACTGCTGTGCAGCCGTGCTAATCCCCTCTGGCCACCCTTAATTAATTAAACGGGAAAACGGAAGGTTCCTGGAAAGCTCGGGCTCTGATACCAGCTGTTATGATATAGGAAGTGTAACTGTACTATAACGTGAGAATACAAGTTCGCTATTGCAATGAAGGTACGAGGTTATTGTTAAATTATATATGTTAGTATATAATTGTAGGCTTGGTAGACGTTACTGAACATTTCTGTAGAGGGTACAACACCCCTCCTTGTATCCCTCTCTCTTCTTTTCTAAGGCCCTCTTTTCTCTCGTCAAACTCTCCCTCCTAGTTCTCCTAGCTCCTAAAACCTCACGCCACTTTCATGGCGTCCTAGTTTTTAGTTCTGATATGGTTTCAGAGCAGGACGCCCTTCCCGGGCCTGCTCTCCACGCTTCCGCCGCGTACTCGTCCTTACTTGGCCGACGTCGCGGCCTTCTGTTTGCCTGCCGCCGTGGCACATTTTCCGAGATGCCGTGGCAGCCTCTGTGTGCTGTCGTCTCAGCGTCGACGGGCAGCCGCGGCTCCGAAGCCATGCTGTGGTGGCGTCGTAGTGGTGCCGTGGCGGTGTCGTCGGCCTGTTGCCGTCGCGCACCACCTGCGTGTTGCTGGATTTGCAGCCCGCCCGCACTCCAGTAAGCGCCGCGCCAGCAATGGCGCCGCGCTGAAGATCCGAAGCCCCACCTCTTCCCCTTTCCCTCTGTCTCCTCCTCTTCGTCACAGTCGCCGCCTGACTTTCGCCGGTCGTCCCCCTGTCGCGGAGCTTGGACACGTCGCCGAAAGGGCGGGGGCCGCTGCCGTTACCAGGGTCGTAAGCCGAAGCTGTCGCTGTCGCCGTTGTCGTCGCCGCACGCCGCCGTCGCCGTCGCTGTCGCCGCTGCCGAGACTACCGCCGTCGCCATCTCCAGGGCCTTGGGGTTTGCCCTGCTTGAGTAGTCGTGGCTGCTGGGAATGGGGGTGCTAGGTTAGGGGGTGTGGGATGTGTGGGTCCTTATGCTACCAAGCCTAGGGGGTGTGTTAAATTATATATGTTAGTATATAATTGTAGGCTTGGTAGACGTTACTGAACATTTCTGTAGATGGTACAACACCTCTCCTTGTATCCCTCTCTCTTCTTTTCTAAGGCCCTCTTTTCTCTCGTCAAACTCTCCCTCGTAGTTCTCCTAGCTCCTAAAACCTCACGCCACTTTCATGGCGTCCTAGTTTTTAGTTCTGACAGTTATATAGGGGTTGGCGTGCTAGGGCGATAACCTCGTAACGTGGGTAGGTTCGGCAATGTGGCGACAGTGCCGGACGCGACTCGGGAAAGGGTTGGGCTGATAAATGAGGCCGAACGTGACGAGTCGAGGAGTTCGGGTGTACGCGCTAGCGTACGACTCAGTAAGGAATGGAAATTCCTTGCACGCAGAGTGGACTGGGTGGTTACCATTGAATGCAAAATGACAATAGTAGCTTACTGGAACTCCACCGCTGCCGCCTACTCCACTGCCTGCAGAACCCAGCCAGTGATTTCGTCACGGGGGTCCGCGGAAAATGTGGGACAAAATCCTGGGTGACCCGAAGCTCGAGTTGGAAAACCCGTGTATCGAGGAACATGAGAAGCGGTGAATACGCCCGAAGGGGGTTCCCTGTGCCATTCCGATGTTTGTGTGACTGCCTCCAATGTTGCTCCGTCGTGCTGTCGGCGCGAAAATGTCGCGGCTCGGCCCCATGACAGCACGCTGGCGGGCTTCCATACTCCATTTCAAGGTGGGCTCTGGTCGGGTGGCGGCGAATAAAGCATAACATTTTCATTTGCCGCCGAGTTGAATGTCGGCTGCATCCTTCCCTGTTGACTGGTCAGGTTGGTCTCTGACCGACAGACCCGCCCCGCCCATCATGTGGTCCCTCTTCTGGCTCATGGCATTTGTCGTGGACCAAGGAAGGAGGCTTTGTCCAGAGCCAGACACGTCGCACGACTCTCTGCGTACACACCTGTACATAAACCCTCGTACGCATCAGAAGGGAGCATAGGCTAGTCGTAACGTACCAAATACTAGTAAGACCTGAGATAACGCCTAGTTAACCCACTTTACGATCGAGCATCAACAATGGGATCACGCACAGGAATGACGCCATTGATACTCCTACTATGTGAGTCCCCTCCCTTCTCCCCCATCATTAACTGCCGCCCCCCATCGCGCTCAACCCAGCACTTACATTTCCATCCTCTAGCACACTAGCCATCTCGTACAGGCTGCAGGAGGCTCATCTCCGTCTCCACCGCTCCGATTCACCTTCCCCCTCCGCCAGGCATCGCAGCGGCTGTTGCGCCGGGCGCTTATGGCGGTCGCGACAAGTTCCCCGTGCAACTAGGTAAGCGCCGAGAATCACTCCGAGTCCCAAATTGCGTTCTCCTCCTATAAATTCATACACTTGTCGCCTTCCTAGTACTTCCCCACACTCTCCCCTCACGGCGCACCTTGCGCTTGGCGGCGCACCTTGCGCTTGGCGGCGCACCTTGCGCTTGGCAACGCACGTCGCGCTCCGCTACTACTCGCCGTTCCTTCTCAATGTCTCCCACCACTGCGCTTGTAGGCAGCGCACTTCTGCGACGCACTTCACTTCTACTCGTCTTCCATCACCACCACCGCCGCTGCTCTCTCCTTTCGCTCCCGCTTATAGCCACCCCTTTCACTCTTCTCTCTTCTCTCCCCCCTCCCACCCCCATCTCCCCTCTGCGGTCATGCCCTCCCTTGCAGGCAAGTCTAAGTTCGACATGAGCACGTGCCGCCGCGTGTACGGCATGAAGCCGGCAGTATCGGGGATAATCGGCACCACCATGGAGAGGTACGCGTCAGGTGCTATGATGGACGGGTGGGACTCGGGTGCCATGGACGGGTGGGGCTCAGGTGCCGACGAGTACGGCTTATGTGTAGAGGGAACCAGGAATATGGTCCGCAAGAGGCGATGCCGTAAGGGGACGTGCGTGCAGCACTCTGTGCCGCGTGCAAATTACTGTATTCAGCCCCTCAGCCACACAAATCCCCCTCCACACCCGCCTCGTGCGTCGTGCGTGTTACTACCTCTGACCACCTCGCCCGCGTTGACTTTCGACCCCGCATTTCCAACCCCATCCACAGTCTCGCGTGGACCCCCGTCGGCAGGTCGTGGGCCTACAAGGTCTCCTTCGCGTTCCTCGCAATCGGCCTTCCCTCCGCGCCGAGCAGCCAGGCGGTCGTGTCGGGCTTCCCCTGCGACCCGTTCACCCCGCCCACGACGATTCTCTCGCTGCCCGGCACGTGGCAACAGATGCCGTACAAGCGCGGCGTGGCGTGGCAGCTCACGGGCAACGTGGCGAGCAGCGCAATCGTGACGGCGTTTCAGAACCAGAAGAGTCAGGGGAAGAAGCGGTCCAAGGTGAAGATTTACGCCATGCTGAATGTGAATGGTACGGTGCTGTACGGTGAAATGGATGAGTAGATTAGATGCGAATGCACTGTGTACAAATGAGTAGATTTTCCTTAGCGGGCCATGCGGCAACCTGGCTAGTGGAGATTGACTATACCTAGGTTCTCTCTCCATCGCAGCTGCTAGCTGCTGCATCCTGCTCAGAATGTACGGCGGTTGGAACAACTCCCCCATTGGAGCAACCAACCCCCCATGTATATCGCCCAGCAGCTGGGCTCTCTGAAGCCCAGCATTTGGGTAGTATACAGCCGGGATCTATGAAGCAGCTGACGTACTTAAGCATTCCCAACCCCCCTCTTCCGCCTAAGCCTTACCGTACTTTGCTGATGTTACAATCCAGGTAACATTAAAGGTACAGGTTCCAGAACAGTTGACAAACCTATCAAAGAAGCTTAGGATAGGAACTAAACTTAGGACCCTAGCTTAGCCAGGAAGGAAGGAACGGCGCCATGGAATGGCGTGCGGAAAGTAGATCTAGGAGCGTGAGGAGAAGAGTTGACGAGAAAGAAGGGAGACGATTAGGAAGAGAGAGTACAAAGGGGGGTTTATACCCTCTACAGAAAGGTTCAATAACAACCTACGAAGCCTATATTACATTAAAACTTATATAATTTTAACAAAACCAACCAATTGCACTTACCACCAATCATGTTCTTTTTGTAGAAGAACCAGGGTGCACATGTATGTGGTTATTGTGATGGTTATCAAACCACTGAGAGCAAGAGAAGCGAATCCTACGACGGTTGGCGGGTGGAGGGAGCATGCTGTGGAAGTCGAGGCAGGCATCCTCCCCGTGGCATACACCTGTGAGAGCAGCGTGTCCTTGCGAGAGTAGATGTCAAACATTGCCTCATTGAATGAATGCTGCCTCAGTGCGCGCGGTGCGTCCACAGGCAAGGTCTTCAGGTGCAGCAGCACTCTTCTTGGCCCTCGCCCGATGGCCATCTTGACCAGGTCGGGCAGGGTGCCTTTCCCTTTATCGTACGCAACAGTCACGTCGATAACTGCCAGAGGGATGCAACAAAAGGCTAGTTCAGCGTCAAAGACACCACAGGAAAGTCCGAAGAGAATGGTGAAGGCTGGTGGAAAGCTCACGCTGGACATTATGATGACCGGATGGAGCCAAGGGGACATGCGAGTGAATAGGATTGGGCATCTGATGATAGCTGACAAGGAACGAATTTGGCAGGCAGGGCGGCATGATAAGCAGCGACTCGTGATCAGCAGAGACACATGGGAAGTGGCGAGGCAGGAAAGCTCTCTCTCTCTCTCTCTCTCTCTCTCTCTCTCTCTCTCTCTCTCTCTCTCTCTCTCTTTCTCTCTCTCTCTCTCTCTCTCTCTCTCTCACTCTCTCTCTCTCTCTCTCTCTCTCTCTCTCTCTCTCTCTCTCTCTCTCTCTCTCTCTTTCTACCTCTCTCTCTCTCACTCACTCAGTCTCTCTCTCTGCCCCTCTCTCTCTCTCTCTCTCTCTCTCTCTCTCTCTCTCTCTCTCTCTCTCTCTCTCTCTCTCTCTCTCTCACTCTCTCTCACTCTCTCCCTCTCACCAGCCTCAAACACGGCATGCAGCGAGTGCAGGCACAGGTAGGTCCCACGGGTGCGAGGCAGCAGCACGTGATTCAGCACCGGGAGACCCCTGGACCGGGCAAACTCCTGACACGCGTCTCGCTTGCGGTCCCTGCAGGACAAAGGGCAGGAAGCAGGCAGGCAGGCAGGGCTTGATGCTGATGCTGGCAGTGTCAGAGAATCACCGTGCCTGTCAGCACGCGTGGTGCGGGGAGTGAGGGACCTAAACACGTCCAAGGCAGGAAACCACTGACGTGAAGTCGGTGCCTTCCGGGAAAATGGCCAGCCAGAAGCCGCTCCCCTGCTTCTGGCTCTGCTTCTGCTGCTGCTCCTCGTGTCGTTCCATGCGCCATTCCTTGTGTCCTTCCTCGTGTTCCCCATGTCGTTCCTCGTGCCCCACGCACGCTCTCAGCTGCTGCAGCGTGGCGCCCATGGCGCCCTCGTCCGTGCGCCAGCAGCGGTCGATGAACACAAAGTGCATCATCTGCAGAGCCCACCCCACCAGTGGCACGTGCCCTATGCTGCGCTTCAGCACGAAGCGGAGGCCTCCCAGCGCTCCCTGCACGTCACACACAGTGCGAGTTAGCCAAGCCTGAATAGCCGGCCTTTACCAGGCTCTGGGAAAACGGGAGGAAAAGCAACCCTTTCTTATGTGCACAGTAATGCATTCTCACTGGAGAAAACCGCCTCGTAGGGAAAAGGGTACTGTAAGGGATAAGATGAGATGATTTCTTCGACGCAAGGATTGCCGTCTGACCTGGACGCGGGCGGCCAAGCAGCAGATGAAGAGCCAGTCGCACTCTGACAGGTGGTTGCACATCACGAACGCCCTGCGCGGCAAGGACTCCAGGTCCGTCACAGTGCTACTCCGACTCAGTGTGGGCTCGAGTGGCCTGTCGTGCTTGTGGTTGTGGTTGTGGTTATTGTTGTGGTTGTCGGCGCCTTGGAAGGGATGGCTGGCATGATCCAACGACAGCACGAACTCCGTTCCTGCAACCTTAATTAGCATCAGCATGAGCATGAGCATCATCAGCATGAGCATGAGCATCATCAGCATGAGCATGAGCATCATCAGCATGAGCATGAGCATCGTCGGGACATAAATGTGCATGCGAAGAGAAACAGAGAAGGTGAAGGGTGATTCAGTGCTGTTGAGATCTGAGGGCTTTCTAGAGTCGGATCGGACTAGATTCTCATTTTAGACGTACGCGCATCCTACCTTTTCCACGAAGAAAGCAAGGCCGTGCATCCACCACCCATACGCGGCTGAAGCGAGCGAGTAGCCCTGTCGACGGCAGTTGAGAAGAGAGAAAATCAGAACCAGCGGCCCGAAGACGAGGATATACGCGCACGCGGAGCACACGTGGCACAGCAGCAGGAGCAGGCAGCAGGCCTCTCGTAGACGAACCGGACACCGAAACCCCAGCTGACGCAGCAGGTGCAGCGAGGAGACAATCATGGCGGCGAGTAGCGGCGTCTCGCGTCAGCCACGACAGCCACTGTCACTGTCCCCTTCAGGGAAGCCACACAGCACGCCACAGAATTCGAACGAACATCCCCGACGGAACTTATGCCTCGCCTGGTACCTTCTACTGCCTGGTGATCCCCCCTCTTCCTCGACATGACACGGCTATCCCGGACCCTCCCAAGGATTTCTCCCGCCTTGCAGTTCATTGCGCTTGTGTTAGTGCTAGGGGCTGGTGACGCGAGGCGGGGCGACATGCACGAGGCAGCAGCAGAGGGCGGCGAAAGAAACGAGATGTGCTGGCTCCTCCTATGACAGAGTTTATACACGAAGAACCTCGTTATTCGATATAGACCTGGTAGTCGCTACGACTCATAATGCTTGGGTCCAGTTGCGGAACCGACTGTGACACGAGGAGCCTAGAACCATGTTCATTTCTAAAGCAACGAATACGGTATGTCTAATCCAATCCAAGCTAGCCAAGTACTTGTGCCACAAAAATAAAATGAAATAAATGACACACAATTGCTGCACATCTGGTTTCTTTCCTCCTCGAGTTGAATCAAACTAATACCACAAGTGGTCGATATGGTTTGGCATAGGTGAGCCTATCCAATGAGAAAGGATGGACTACTGCTATACAAGACAACTAGGACAGTAGTATGGCCGGAATTGCCTTCATCCCCATTGCGCACCTCAAACATCATACTCAAGAGAACTTGACAAATCAGCGTTGCCAGGCTACCAGTCACTGCAGAGCATGGGAGCAGCACCTTCAGCTGCTGGACTGGTTCAATACTAGACGCCCTCATGCAACACATGCATGTTCCCCAGATCCCCACTCCCAGAACCAAGCTATATTGGTATGGTACCTACACCCTGCAGTCCCACTCTCCACCCTTTGCTGCCAGCAGCCTCATCCCCTTACCACGCCTGCTCACAAGCACCGGTAACCCAAGCTGCATTGCCCTTGCCAGCCGCGCTTAACCAACTTGGCGCCCAACACCTCCTGCAAACTTTACAGCCTAATGCTAGAAGAACCATGAGTGGCGCGTGAGCGACTCCTAGGCTGTCTTCCTGCGCACTCCTGGCCGCTCCAGTGTAAGCCGGCTGAGCCAATACACCTGCAAAGGTGCACATGAGGGGCAGAAGACGGGAGGGGGGAAGGGGGGGGGAGAAGGGGCAGTAACGATGCAGCAGACGTGGGGGAGACGAGTTATGATCACTGGAGGGATGACAAGGGCTGGAGGAAATTGAGAAGCGAGGGGATAACATGTGGAGCGACGATGTCTGGGCTCAGCGTCAGCGTACATGCATGCATGCAGGCTGTCAGAGCTGCAACATCAATTGCCTCACTTAAATTGCCTTCTTTGGCAAGCTGCCACTATGTAGAGCAGAACGCAAAGGGCTCGTTTACATCGCCATGCACCATTCGCAGGGGGCATGTGCTCGTATTATCCCTCTCTCCATTTGTCATCTTCTCTTTATTGCCTTGGTTTTCTCCTCACTCTATTTCCCCGGTTTAGGGTCACCATAGTATCATACCATCCTAACGCCCACTCTTCAACCAGTCACTCATCTCCTCACACCTTTCCTCTCCTTCCCAATTCCCTTCCTCATCCCTCTCCAATCTTCTTCCACTTTCCCTTCGTTTTTCCATCTTCCATCTTCCCTTCTTCCCTCGTCCCTTCGTTCTTCCTTGTTCCCTCTTCCCTTCCTCCTTGTTCCCTTCTTAACTTCTTCCCTCTTCCCACTTTCCGTCCTTCTTCCCTCGTCACTTCCTTCATCCATCTTCCATTCCCCTCCTCCTGCACTCACTGCGTCTCTACACCTCCTGCCTTCTCTGCACTTACTGGACACATGCCATACACTATCACACTGCGCACTATCACACTGCGCACTATCACACTGCGCCCTATCACACTGCGCCCTATCACACTGCGCCCTATCACACTGCGCCCTATCACACTGCGCCCTATCACACTGCGCCCTATCACACTGCGCCCTATCACACTGCGCACTATCACACTGCGCCCTATCACACTGCGCACTATCACACAAAACACCACCGGACCGCACAGCCCGTGACTTGGGAGGAATTTCTACCAAAGCCATGATGGGAGTGAACGGATGGATGAGGCGGCGGGGGGAGGGAGGTGGTTAAGGACGGACGAGTAGAAGTTAAGGGGTGAGGGCGGTGGAACGACCTAAAAAAGCGGAAGAAAGAGAGGAGGGGGGTTCAGAAGAGGGGGAGAGAAGAAAAAGATGCAGGTAAACGCTTGGCATGATCGGTATGCGCCTTAACGTGTGACAGGGGGGAGGGAGAGGAGATGAGGGGGTGCGAAGGGAGGGAGCTGAGGGAATGGGAAGGGAAGGAGGTGAGGAGGAAGGCAAGGAGGAGGGGATACGACGGGGGTAAAGGAGATGGGAATGAGGAAGAACGTGGCGTGATGATGGGCCAACACGTGGAGGATGGAGAGATTAGGGAGCCGTTAGTGGGACGTTAGGGAGGGTGAAGGCGGGGGTGCGGAGGCTGGTGATATTTGTGTGCGAAATCACTAGAGCGTGAGGGCGGGCGGGAGGAGGGCGGGCGGGAGGAGGGCGGGCGGGCGGGAGGTGCAGGCGCGGTGGGGCGGGGGGCGTGGACGTACGAGGGCGAATAGGTGCGTGACGACGAGCAGCGCGAGCAGCGATCCCAGCCATGGCGGCAGCCCGGACGCCGCGGGGTCGTCCACTTGCCGCATCGCCGCGCTTTTTCGCCACGCCTCACACTGCACACGCCCACGCGCCCACGCGCCCACGCGCCCACGCGCCCGTCCGCCCGTCCACCCGCCCGGCCGCACGCACACGAGCACCCACTTTGCGCACCCTCAGCGGGGCCTACGTGCCCCCACCCCCCCCCGGCCACACCCCCTACTGCTGCCCCGCGCAACCGACACTCTCCGCCGCTCTCTCCACTCCGACCCCCCCGCCGCTTAGCGCTGCTCCGCGCCCGTAGCGGGAAGTGACCCTCCGCCCTTGGCCTCTGTCCTGTCCGCCTCACGCGTACCGCTGCCCCTTGGGAAGAAAAATGCTCAGACCCTCTTCCCCTACTTAGCGCGAGCTCGAATCCGCTCCCCTTCCCGCCCCCCGAGTTCCCTTTCCTGAATCCGCGGCCGGGCCAGGCGGCAAAAACTAGGAACGGATCGGAGATGCTGCTAATACGCACTGGGGTGCGAGATGGGACGGCAGAGAATGGTGCGAGTTAGCGCGAGATGCGTTGGTGGTGGAGTGCCGAGTCAAGACAGTGAGAAAAAAAATACGCGACGACTATTCAGACTAGACCTACACAGGCTCGAGACCTCGTTCCCGCAGCGCCAGCAATTGTAATCGCTGCTGCCGCCGACGCGACATCTGCCAAGCTAGGCGCTTCCCCTGATCTAAAGGGACACGTGGCATCACGCGAGAGGCGCGATCCGCTTGGCCCCAATCTCTTAGGAGCGCTATCTCGACCCTGCCGTACCGCAACGTGGAGAGCCTCTATTAGACAGGTCGAGTGGGATCTAGCGGCCAGGCAGCATGGTTACGCTGGATGGCCGTTTGGCATGGGTGGTGGAGGGGCGATCGCAGGTTGGTGTGTGATGGAGAGCGACGGTTAGCGAGGAGCGAGTGTGAGGATGTGAAGGGTTGGGTGGAGTGGGAATGATGGCAAGGCGAGCGGAGGTGGTGGAATGGGGAGCTAAGGGCGTGGAACATACAGTTCCAAACAGCCGTCGTCCGAACTTCCACCACACTGTACCACGCAGTTATCTCAATTTTATACGTCGGAACCGTTCGGAACTGTATGTTCCACGCCCTAAGTTTATGGTTGTAAGTAAATGGTATTTCCTTATCACGGGTTTTAGTTAGTAAGGCGTACACTGCTATAATGGGGTTGCCGCACACCTCTGCCACGAAATTCAAATCGCGGCACCCAAATATGGTCTCCTGACGGTTCGAATGCATTTTGCCTGTCTTGTTGTTTCATGCCTAGATTTGGGTACTTAGTGTCAACTTATACATATGTTGTATGTAGAAGTTATAGGCTAGCCTAGGTGTGTGCTTCTAGTGAGTACAACCCCAACTGGTATATGTTATAGGTTTCTCACACATGTCAATCATTCTTGCATTCTAACATGGTATCACGAGAAGGTTAGGTCCACCCACCCGCTTCCGCCCGCGCCCTAGCCTCAAGCCCCCTAGCTAGCCCTAGAGCCCGCCCGGCCCTTAGCGCGCCCGCCCGGCCCGTCGCGCCTGCCTGGCCCATCGCCCCCGCCTGGCCCGTCGCGCCTGCCTGGCCCCGTCGCGCCCGCCTGGCCCCGTCGCGCCCGCCTAGCCCCGTCGCACCACCCTGGCCCGTCGCGCCCGCCTGGCCCCATCGCGCCCGCCTGGCCCCATCGCGTCCGCCAGGCCCGTCGCGCCCGCCTGGCCCCGTCGCGCCCGCCTGGCCCCGTCGCGCCCGCCTGGCCCGTCGCGCCCGCCTGGCCATGTCGCGCCCGCCTGGCCCGTCGCGCCTGCCTGGCATCGTCGCGCTCGCCAGGCCCCGTCGCGCCCGCCTGGAACTGTCGCGCCCACCTTGCCCCGTCGCGTTCACCTGGCCCCGTCGCGCCCGCTTGGCCCCGTCGCGCCCGCCTGGCGCCGTCACGCCCGACTTGCCCCCTCGCGCCCGCCTGGCCCGTCGCGCCCGCCTGGCCCCATCATGTTCGCCTGGCCCCGTCGCGCCCGCCTGGCCCGTCGCGCCCGCCTGGCCCCGTCGCGCCCGCCTGGCACGTCGGGCCAACTTACTCGTGCTCTCTCTCTCTCTCTCTCTCTCTCTCTCTCTCTCTCTCTCTCTCTCTCTCTCTCTCTCTCTCTCTCTCTCTCTCTCTCTCTCTCTCTCTCTCTCTCTCTTTAACTCTCTCTCTCTCTCTCTCTCTCTCTCTCTCTCTCTCTCTCTCTCTCTCTCTCTCTCTCTCTCCCTCTACCTCGCTTGCCGTCTCTGTCTCTCTACTCCTCCAGCAAGCGCCTCAGCCACACCACTTCCTTGGCCCCATGGTGTAAGGCCATGTACTCAGTCTCACATGAGGACAATCCCACCTCATTCTGCTTCTTGCTGCGCCAGCTCACAGCACCACCTCCTATCAATCACACATAACCCCCAATGCTGGTGCCATCCGCTTTCACTGAGTTGAAGCTAGCGTCAGTATAGCAACTCAAGAGCATCTCTCCACTCTTCACATCTGTAGCACCTCTTTGCAACCGCTGCCTCACTCCACTGTACTCCAATCCCACTGATGCCGTAGCGCTCACATAGCGGACCAACCTCTTGGCCGCTTCCAACTGCTCATGACTAGGGCGTGAGACCACACTAGCCAACCGTGATGTAGCAAATGCAATGTCAGGCCGTGTATGATTTGCAGCATAATTCAGCGACCCAACCATCGAATGAAACAGCTTCCTGTCACTATCACCCACTACCTCCTCATCAGCGCATGGCTCCACAGTAAACCCCGAAGGTAGTGGTGTTGCTGGCTTTCCCCCATCTTGCAGCCCATACTTCTCAGCCAGCCCCTCACAGTACTTCCTCTGGTGCAACCTCAGTACACCTTTTTCCACATCTCTCTCCACGTGCATCCCCAAGTAGTACTTCACCTCACCCATCTTGGAGCACTTGAACTGCATCTCCAGCATCTGCTCTGCGCTGTCCAGCAAAGCAGTTGATGCAGAAAAGAGAAGGATATCATCCACGTACATCAAGAGCATGAGGATTTCATCCTTCTCCTGCAGCAGGAACAGGCTGGGGTCACACTCACTCTTCTTGAAACCCCCAGCCAACAGCGCCTCCTCCAACTTGTGATACCATGCACGAGGCGCCTGCTTAAGGCCATAGATGGCCTTCTTCAGCCTGCAGACCCTACCGCTCCCATCATCCAGCCCCTCTGGCTGCTTCATGTACACCTCCTCCAGAATGACCCCATTCAGAAAGGCAGTCACAATGTCCATCTGCCGTATCTTCCATCCCAGGAGTGCAGCTATCGCCAACAGCACCCTCAGTGTTGTTCCTTTCCCCACAGGAGCAAACACCTCATCATAGTCCTTCCCCTTTGTCTGCTGAAACCCCCGTGCCACAAGCCTAGACTTGTAGCAGGTCAGCTCCCCTTCAAGTCCATACTTGTGCCTGTAGATCATCTTGGAGGTGATTGCCTTCTTCCCAGGAGGCAAGTCACACAGGTCCCATGTCTCGTTCTCAATCAGGGACTCGAACTCCTCATCCTCACTCGCCTTCCACTTCTCCCCATTTGGTCCATTCAAGGCCTCCTCTCGAGTCTTGGGCTCAGGGATTGGTGCCCAGTAGCAGTGAGCGATCTCATCTTCCTCAATCTGCTCAACCACACTCCCAGCCTGCACCACATTCGGCTTGCCTCTTCCCCCATAGGTCAGCCTCACAGGAGGGCGCACATCCCTCCTAGGTCGCTCAGGCGGGTGTGGAACTCGAGGTGGAGACTCATGTTGCTGCTGCTGCTGCTGCTCCACTTCAGCTGCTCCCCCTTCCTCAGTCACCCCAGACATCTCCTCCTCAGACACTGCAACCTCCACCTGTCTTGAAGGCCGCTGCACCTCATCTGCCTCCACAATGAGCAGTGTAGATGGAAGCTTCTGTTGCTGCTGCTTCCATTCCTTGTAGTACAGGGACTCAAGAAACTTCACATCCCTAGACACTGTCAGCTTCTGGGTGGTCAAGTCCCATAGCAGCCACCCCTTGTGATCCTTTGCAATCCCCAAGTGCACACCCCATCTTCCAGAAGCCTCCGACTTCCCCCTTTTCTCCTTAGGCACATGAAACACCACCATGCACCCAAATGCCCTCAGCATGTTCACAGCTGGAGCACTCCCATACCACTTGGTATATGGGATCCACTCCTTCTCCCCAACTGTAGCCAGCACCCTATTCTTCACAAGGGCGACCTGCCTCAGTGCAGACACCCAAAACGGATCAGGCAGCCCTGCACGTCCAAGGAGAGTGCGTGCCCCCTCCTGCAGGGTCCTGTTGAACCTCTCAGCCACGCCATTCTGCTGCGGGTTGTAGGGCACTGTCAGTTGATGTTGGATCCCCTTCCTTTTCAACTCCCCCTCAAAATCAGCTCCAATGAACTCCCCACCATTGTCACTGCGGATCACCTTCACCTTGTGTCCGCATTCCCTCTGAGCTCTAGGCATCCACTCCTTAAGGACAGCCACTGCCACCTCTCCCTTGCTCTTCAAAGGGTAAACCCACACTGCCCGAGTGTGGTCATCCACAATTGTCAAGAAATAGCGGCTGCCTGAGAGGGAAGGGGCTCTTGTGGGCCCCACCACATCCATGTGCACAAGTGCAAGTGGGGTCTTGGCTGGTCTTGTAGTGCTGTTGAAGGAGAACTTGGAGAACTTGGTCTCCAAGCATGTAGGGCAGCTCCCAATCTCCTTCACTCCCCCTTTCACCTCTAAGCCCTTCAGGCTCCCATCCTTCACCAACTTCTGCAGCATAGGGAAGTTCACATGACACAGCCTCTCATGCCATGTCTCCCAATCGGCCTCTCCACTCCTTGATGAAGCCTTAGCCCATGCCGCACTCGCATCCACACCAGCAAGCACCTCACCATGTGTCTGCTGCTGATACGCTTTCTTGACTGCTTCCAAGGTCCCATCAGTTGGTGCAGTTGCATCTCCTCCTGCTGTTGCCTTTGCCGCTGCTGCCGTTGCTGTTGTTGGAGTCTTCCCATTCCAAGGGATGATGGGCAGCTGCCATAGGTCCTTGATGCAGCAGGTCTCCTCTTCCAGACTCCACAGCACCTTCTTCCCAAGCTTAGCACGGCAGTTGGTTGGTCCAAAGGTCACTTCGGCCTTACTCTTCTGCAGTCGTCGCACAGAGAGAAGGTTAGCAGACAAGCCTTTAACTAGCAGAACATTCCCAAGCCCCACAAGCTCCCCATTAGCTCCCTTAACCTTGGCATTTCCAACACCAATCACAGGGAGCAAAGCACCTGACGCTGCTGCCACATACTTAATCTTCCCAGGGGGTTTTACCTCATCAAGCAAATTTGCCCGTGGGGTCATGTGACTGGTGCAACCCGAATCAATCACCCAGTGCGTGAGAGGGTGCATCACAACCTTTCCCACAAATCCCACATCACCCTCATGCCTATGCACATCCTCAACCATGAGAAACATCCCAGGATAGGCATTACCCTGTCCATCTGAGCCTTGTGCACCTGAGCCTTGCACAGCGCCACCTTGTGCGCGTTCACCACTTGGCAGCTTCATGCCTGGAGGTGCCCATCCTTCCGGCCTGCTGAAGCACTTGAACCAAGGATGCCCGACCTTCTTGCAGTACCAGCAGGTGCCCTCCATTCTGGTACTCCCCTGCCACCGGAGCTCCCATGCCCCTCATTATAGTCACCTCGGCCTCTACCTCTGCCAAAGCTCCTCCCACGGCCTCGGCCTCTCCAACCCCCTTTTCCTCTGCCGCGCCCTGCAGCTCCATACCCCTCAGCAGTCTTAGTGGAAGCACCACCTTCCACATGGCGTCTGCGAAAGTCCTCCCGCAGAATCTGCTGCCTTAGCCACTCAGGTGTCCATTGATCTTGCTGAGAGTTGGGGTGGGA